AATATCCCCCACAAAAACAACTAGCGTCCGTGAAAAAAGTCCTGACCTCTCAAGGTCATTCTTCAAGATCAGACGTGGGCTCAAACGACAGGGAAACTTTTATCACCCAAAAAACCGGCCGATTTAAAAAACTTCAACTGTCAGAATATTCACCACAAGAAGAAATAGCGTCCGTGAAAAAGTCCTGACCTCTCAAGGTCATTCTTCAAGGTTAAACACGAGCTAAGAGTACGGGGAAATCCAGATCACCCCAAAATTACCGACCGATTTTAAGCTTGCAACGGTGAGAATATTCCCATGGAAAGAACTAGCGTCCATGAAAAAGTCTTGACCTCTCAAGATCATCGTTAAGACCAAACGCGGATAGAAGCCCGGGGAACTCTACATCACGCAAAATCTACTGGTCGATTTTCAACTTGCATGTGTCGGAATATTCACCACCGACACGACTAGCGTCCGTCAAAAATTCCTAAGCTCTGAAGGTTATTCTTCATTGTCAGGCGCGGGCTCAAACGACGAGGAACTCCATATCATCCAAAACGTGCCAGCCCATTTTAAACCTGCCACTTTCGGAGAACTCACCACAGAAAAAAACTAACGTCCGTGAAAAGGTCCTGACCTCTCAAGGTCATTTTCTTAAGGTCATTCTTCAAGGCCAAGTGCGGGCTCAAAGGACGGAGAACTGGGTATCACTTAAAAATAACCGGCCGATTTAAACTTCCAAGCACCAGAATATTTAACTACATATTGGCCTTGAAGGAACATTAGAATATTAGCCTTGAACGGTGACCTGGAGAGGATGGACTTTTGACGGACGCTGGATTTTCTGTGGTGAATATTCTGATATCCGAGAGTTGGAAATCGGCCGGTATTTTTGTGAGGTATCGAGTTCCCCATCCTTTGAGCCCACGTTTGACCTTGAATGGTAATCTTGAGACGTCAGGAGTTTTTGGCGAGCGCTAGTTCTTGCGCTTGATAATGTTTTGATACTGATAGTTTTCAAATGGGCCAGCAATTTTCAATGATATTGAGTTCTCCGTTCTTTGAGTCCGCATCTAGACTTGAAGAATGACCTTGAGAGGTCAGGTCTTTCTGACGGACGCTTGTTCTTTCTGTGGTGAGTATTTTAATACTTGTAAGTTGAAAATCGGCCGGTAAGTTTTGGGTGATATATATTTTCCGTCCAATGAGCCTGTGTTTGACCTTGAAGAGTGACCTTGAGAGGTCAATAGCTTTTGTCGGACGCTAGGTCTTGCGCTTGTGAATATTTTAATGATTATAATTTTCAAATAGGCTGGCAATTTTTGGGTGGTATCAGGTTCCCCGTCCTTTGAGCCCGCATTTGACTTTCAAGGATGGCCTTGATATGCCATGACTTTTTACAGACGTTTTACGTTTTCCTTTTTTTTACGTTTTACGTTTTACGTTTTACTTTTTTACGTTTTACAGACATTTTACGGGGCGCAAAATGACCGCAGTAGTCGACGCGCCCTAAAACTCTAATCAACAACAGACGTTTTACTTTTTACTCTTGCGCTTGTTACTATTTTGATGCTTATAGTTTTCAAATCGGCCGGTAGTTTTAGGGTGATATCGAGTTTCCCGTCTCCTGAGTCCGCGTTTGACCTTGAAGGCTGACTTTGAAAGGTCAGGACTTTTTCACGGTATTAATGTGTTTAAGCTGAAAATCGGCCGGTAATTTTTGGGTGATATTGAGTTCCCTGTCCTATGAATCTGTGTTTGACCTTGAAGGGTGGCCTTGAGCAGTCAGGACTTTCTGACGGACGCTGGTTCTTTCTGTGGTGAATGTTCTGATATTTGCAAGTTGAAAATCGGCGAGTAATTTTTGGGTGATATCGAGTTCCCCGTCGTTTGAGCCCGTGTTTGACCTCGAAGTGTGGCCTTGAGATGTCAGGACTTTTTGACGGACGCTAGCTCTTGCGCTTGTGAATATTTTGATGCTGATAGTTTTCAAATCGGCCGGTAATTTTTGACTGATATCGAGTTCCCCGTTCTTTGAGCCTGCGTTTGACCTTGAAGGGTGACCCTTAGTGGTCAGGACTTTCTGACGGACGCTAGTTCTTTCTGTGGTGAATATTCTGGCATTTGCAAGTTGCAAATTGACCGGTAATTTTGGGTGATATTGGGGTTTTCGTCCTTTGACCCAGTCTTTAACCTTGAAGGTCACATGATATCGCAAAATAAGGGTCATTTTTGGTGTTCTCATATCACAATTGACCTTGATACTTTTTCAGAGAAATCGGAACTCGTCGCTGAATAAATCGCTGAATAGCTCGCTATCTTCACGAATATTGATGCACGTTACTTCCTCACGATCATTGCTTTCCGTCAGCTCGATTTGAGTGAGGAAATGCAGTGACACGAGTAGTGACTTAAGTTATTGTTCGTAGCTAGTAGTGGCTTGATATTGTAAATAAAACCTGAATTTCTTGCATTCTGATTTCTTGGGACACATTTCGGGCGATCAGCTTGTCCATCCTGGGACTTTGGATTGAGCTTTGGACATGAGCTTCCAGAAAACTGTACGTCCAAGTGACCTTACTTGACACTGGCCTGGCTGGGATCTGACGTTTCTTCTGGATCAGGGATCGTGCCATTATTCTGCGTCCCAATTCTCGTGCTTTCTGAATGGCTGAAGGACGGACGCTAGGCCGCTCCGTTGAACTGTTGCTGGGTGGTGGGGATGCATGGCTGGCTGACGGGTACTAAGCTGCTCCGTTAAATTGTTGCTGTGCGGTAGGGATGCATGGCTTCCTGACGGACACTAAGATGCTCCATTAAACTATTGCCGTGTGGTAGAGATGCTGAAAACGGGAGGAGATAGCGTGAACAATCGTCTAGTGTCTGCACAAATCATAACATCTACCCTGTCCTTTCACAGGATCCTTCATTTATGCTTAGTTCAAATATCGGCTGTCTGGACAAATTTAGCATTGGGTAATATCGGCTGTCGATGGCTTGACACCAAATTAAACATCGTTGTAGTTGTAGTTATATTTGACATCAGCTGATGCTCCACATCAATACGTAGCTATTACGTGCCTTTTGTCTGAGAGATAAAACAGTATGTAAAAAAACAACGGAAAGTGATGAGGGATAAAAAATAAACACATGCGCGCATAAACAGTATGAGATAGCAACCCTATCACACAAAAAGGACCCGACAAGCACCCAAAGCTTGTTAAATTCAGTCGTCGAACATCGACAGGAAACTCATTAGCGAGAGACGCCGCTCGGTATTCCAAGGACCGCTGTGCTGTCGCTGTGTGCACCGCGACGGGGCACAGCCTATGGTCCATGCGGGTAGTTCGCTCACTGGTCCGCGTCAGCGGATGTTTCAAGCGAACAGGCAAGACCTGCAGGTTACCTCCCTCATGGGCCAGTGATAACAGCGAGCGCAGCGATAGCAGTTTGTTTGTGTTTGTGATAACAGTTCGTGCACAGCGATAACAGTTTGTACGTCATACATTTGACTGCGTGGCAAAGCGCAGGTCATCCCGCGCGCGAGACACGTGATCATACCTTCGTAGGCCAGCATCTTCTTTGGTAGCGAAGCTAACTACTTTAAGCAGTCTGGCCTCGCTAACAGCTGACCCCTAGCCGTAAACCGAAATGCAGCATCTCACGCGCGAGATGACTAGACCCTGCACTTTGATCAGCAACACTCGTTGCAGGAGGAATTGTCTCAGGTGGCGGAGACCGATCCGGAAACGACGCACTTTTTTACTGCATTACTGACGTGTGCGTCCCGGCTCAAGCGTCGGTCAACTAGTACACCCAAGTCCAAGAAAAAAATACCGTTGCTACGAGCCTGTGTATCGTTGTCAGGAGAGGACATCAGAACTCCGTCTGTTCGTCTTGTGTTCCGACGATGGAACTCTGGTCCGTAGAGGAACGTGCTCCGAAGCAGGTCCCCTCATCACGGATTTTGGGAGGTGCGTGCCGTCTGGCGGGTCGTGCGTCTCTTCCAGTGGTCTGTCGCGTCAATGGCCTTGTCTGGATGCCGCTGCTAGACCCTGTTCAGGCACCAGGATGCCTCATTAGCTAAATTGGCCTTGTGTGTTGTATGCGAGTTGGGCGACGTAGAGTTCCTGGAGAGGTTTTAAGTTTCCCAACTCCGTGCCGGCCTGGCGACAGTGTTTTCTCGCTGCGGACCTGGGATGTGGGTCGTGCTAAGGACACTTGACGGCGAGCCATTCTTGCTGCAAAGATGACGTTCGGAAAGACACTGGACCGGCTCATATGCGCTGAGTTGGATGCCTTAACTGTTTTTTTTAAGCGTCAGGGCTGCAGTAACAGCATTCAACAATAGCTCCTTTTGAGCCGATTAAAAATGATGTCCGTCAGGGCTCAAGGAATGTGTGCAAGATATTCCGGAATTGTGCAGATGTTTATTCGGACATTTTGTCAGTTAAAATGAAACCTAGATGCCATCGTTTTGCCATTTTGCTTGGGCTTCATTACTTGAATCATAGCTTTCCCGCAAAAGAGAAGTGATTCGTTCCAAGAGTTTTCACGAACCCCAGGGATTAAGTTAATCATTTTTCTTGTCCTCCTCCCTACTCCCCGCAAAGAAATGAAGTTTAGTAGAGCCCAGCGTTTTATAAACAAAGTTCCGAAAGTGCTCGAAGCTCGCCGTCCTGCCGGCTGTTCCCAAGATGTTTTTCGGCTGTTCCTGGCAAGGGATCCGCTATTTCAGTACATTTATAAGCAATGAATGGACGATGGATTTTGTTCAGATATCTCTACTTGGCAGAATGGCAGCAGGCAAACGCAGCAGGTCTTCCTAATTGGCAAGCAGTCATGTATCAATACAGAACAAACACACCAATACTATGGGCCCTCCAGATTCCCCTCACCTCCCATCCCACCTAAAAAATGACGTGGCGTAAGTACTAGGGAGCGTAGAGGAGGTGGTGCAATGACTAGTGCAAGGCAAGCTTCGCTCGCTTTCCCCGTTGACAGCACGATCTCTGCAGTTGCAGGAAAAGCTGAATCTGGTACAAGACCAGCTGCACTCGCTGCGGACGGCCGGATCTGCCGATCAGCAAGACGGCGCCGATGCCGACGAGTTCCACCAGCGCGTCGCCACGCTCAAGGAGGAGTTCCGCGACCTGCTGGCCGAGCTGCAGCGGCGCCGATCCACGCCAGATGGCAGCACGGTCGTGTATGAGGTGAGTGACGAGGGCGCCGCGAGATGGCAGCCCGGTTGTGCTTGAGTTGAGTGACGCAGATGCCAAGGGGATGCCATGCTGCGCATGGCTGTGCGCGAGGCTAGTCATGGAACATGGGAAGACGGTGGCGTAACCCATACGAAGTGAACGGCTGAAGCGTCAAGTACTTTTCGCACGTGATTATATGGGTTAACACACATTCGGAGGGGAGGGCAATTTTACCCAGCAAAGGTTTTTCCAGAATGATATCCGAACGGCGCGGACCGTGTCGGACTTTGCGTACTTGTAGGCAATGGAACAGCGGATCTTTTGATACCAAAATACGATCTACCTTGTAAGGTTGCTGACCTGTAGCAGGTCAGTGTGAGCCCATGGTTGTCAGCGAAAGCCGTTCCCAGGGAATCGTCCCATGTGACGCATCGACAGTGTCAGATGAAGCCATATATTTCTGAGATAGTTTTTCTGGCAACACAACAATTACATTTAGGAGTGCAACAATTCTATTGACCTAGCATCAGGTGTGAAAGTCAGGCAAATGTCAAAACAAGCGTTCTTTTTGCTCGATAGCTTGCTGTATGGTGAAGGTTCAATTGTTCGTTTCGAAGGTATTAATATTAGGGACCACAGCAGACATGTTCCATGCACTTCAAGGCCAAAGAAGCTCACTGATCTAGAATAACTCAGGTTAGCATCTTGTGTACAAAAGCATGGCGCCTTATATAATGCCAGGCTCTTATTCAAACGTCAAAACAACAACAATTTTGTATGTTTTTGGTGACCTTGACCTTTCAAAGATAAAAAAGGCTACCGACCTAAATGGAAATCAGTGACCCTTCGCCTAGAACAAGCCTCTAGCTTCAAGGCGATTGCATGAGGAGGTCTGGGGTACTGTAGACACCAATCTGCAGGATGACCTTGTTCGACGTTATTTTGACCCAAAGATCATGGCTAAAAAAACCCAAGTTTCCATACAAGTGAGTTAACGTGCAGGTCGATCCATGCTGTGAATTTCGTTTATCCAGCTGTCTTAGTTTTAAGATCAGAGCAGTCGAATTGACCAGCTCCCCCTCCCCTAACCGAACGAATGGTATTCAACCGGCCATCCGAGCGTTTGTAAACACACGTTAGGTCATGACCTCAGGGTCAAATAAGACCAAACAAGCTTAAAACTCCAGATTGGTGTCCGAAATACCCCGGACTTCCTCACGCAATCGCCGTGAACCTAGAAAAAACTCTAACTAAGCAACAGATCAGTGGTGCTCATTTAAGGCCATTTTCTTTGTTAAACCTTTTGATCAAAGTGATCAAGACGCTACGAGATTGCTCCTATTTGGTCACTTAAATAAGCGCCAGGGATAAAGCTAGGCAATGTGTTCTTAAAGTAAAATGCTGACCTCAGGCTTTTTAGGTCAGGGACGTATTCTGACCATTAAAAAGTCCATAGAGCATGTCTGTTGCAGTACCTGTCATTAATTAATTCAAAATGAGCGCCAAAAACTACTTCGTAAAGCAAGCCCTTGAGTAAAAATCAGATAAGGTTTGACCTCAGCCTGACTTTCATGCCTGACCCTTGGTGGATGTAATTTGTTGTAATTTAAATTAAATCGGTGTATATTCTAAGGAGCTATCTCAGAGAGGTGTGGCTTCGTCTAACTCTCCAATGCCGCATCATATTGAACGATTGCCTAGAAATGGCTTTCGCTGGCTTCCACGGTCCGACTGTTACCAGCCATAGGCGAGCAATCTTGCAAGCCAAATGCAATATTGTTAAGCTAAATCATCCGCTAATCAATGTCTTACAGCTATGCCAAGTTTGGCGACGCTACGCAGCGCCGTTCGGAACTCATGTGGTGAACTCTGCGTTGCTGCTATGAAGTCGTCATCAAGTGTAGGCGTGAGCAAGCCCGACGTGTCGATGGTGCTATCCTTTAGGTCTACCTCGCTTTGCTCTGAAATAGCAAAACGGTGAGGAATCGTTTAACTTCGAATCGTGTACTGATCTTTACTCGTGCACTCTAAAGAGAACTTAAACACCCATTAGTTTTGGAAGTCTATTTCAATCTACATCTGCATAAACCGTGGGTAGTCTTATTCAGTCAAGTGCATTTTCTTCAGCGTGTCTACGACGTTCTGTGTCCACAGCTGGACAACTTGGATGGGGAGCTTCGTCGTGCCAAGAAGAGACCAAGCTCCTCTAGAAAGATGTCCACGTCTTTGTCATCTTCACTTTCACGTCCACTCTCCACAGCTGAATCAACAACAATCAGGTGATGGAATGTTCGAGCCTGCCTCTTGATACTACGAGAACGTAATACATCACTGTGGATTTTTCATGCTAGGGTTCATTTTGAATTAATTAAAACAGCCATAGGAACACAATCGTATAGAGTGAGCCCTCCTTCTGGTGGTTAGCATATTCTTAAGATATGATAAATGCATGTGTTTTTGTACCACTTGGATAGGACTGTCATGGATGTCCGGTATGAAATTCAGCATGAAAGCAGATGGTACAGCATGAATGGTTTTTGTGTGTTTTTCCTCACTGATAGATTACGCTTGGTAAGTAAGCTATTACGCCAGGAAAGATAATGCTCGATGCACTGGACGAAAGCATGCGGTCATCATGTATGTATGTATGTAGATAACAAATGTATGCATATGCCAAAATGTATGTATGTGCCAAATTAGATGTCTTGCTTTTCAACCGTACGCTTCACAACATCGCTGGATGACACGAGATCGCAAACATAACACACTTGAGGAACATCTGGCATAATGCCACCGACTCATATCCTAATCTGTCAGGCGGTCGGCCGACGCTGCATCTGTCGGACCGTCTAGCCGGGGCAGGGGTGGGACGGGCAATGGTCGGCCGATCCTGCATCTGTCGGACCGTCCAGCCGGAGGAGGAGTGGGACGGGCAATGGTCAGCCGATGCAACATCTGTCGGACCGTCTAGCCGGGGCAGGGGTGGGACGGGCAATGGTCAGCCGATGCAACATCTGTCGGACCGTCCAGCCGGAGGAGGAGTGGGACGGGCAATGGTCAGCCGATGCTACATCTGTCGGACCGTCTAGCCGGGGCAGGGGTGGGACGGGCAATGGTCAGCCGATGCTACATATGTCGGACCGTCCAGCTGGAGGAGGAGTGGGACGGGCAATGGTCAGCCGATGCTACATCTGTCGGACCGTCTAGCCGGGGCAGGAGTGGGGCGGGCAATGACGGTGCGACGGGCTCAAGGAGATTCACCACGGATTCCGGGAGATCCCCGGAAGCCGAAAGCGGAAAAGATGCAGCTTCAGGGCGCGAGGTATCCGCCGGCACAAGGGTAGGAGCAGTTCTACGAATGGCAGGAATTGGTACGACAGCTGCTTAGTATCACGATCGGAAGACTGCCAGTAGATCGCTGGCAGCAGCCGGCACAGTTGCATGACAAAAAGTAGACGAAAAAAACAATTAAAACAAACAAACGGAGGTAGTCGTAGGGGTAGAAGTCGACAGGGATAAAATCCGAGCTGGAAAAAAGTCGAGTAGTAAAACGTGAAAAGCGATAAAGGTCCGAAAGGATGAAGTCGGCGGACGAAACATCAAATGAGATGAAAAGAGGCAGGGAAGCATTGGAAAACGCTGAAAAAACAATTTTGCGAACAAAAATTCGGCATGCATAAACGTCTTTTAAGATGACGATAAGAAAGTAGGTACAGGCCGGAGAGTATCGCAGATTTCAGATCCTTAAGGGGGTGTCATACAGGAGAGGTTTATTTACTTGACGCCTGACGTAAACATGGAAATTACCGACTCCACTCGAACGCGTTCCTGAATGCAACGGGCTTCCCTGCCTCGCTTCCCCTGGTCCTCTAATTTGAGCCCGCCCACGTTCACCTAGCACACGCTCCTGGCAGGAACCAGCCTTCAAGTATTCACTACAGAACGATACGGAACGCACCCTATGAGGTGACCTTATCTGTGTATCAGGTGACCGACCAGATATAGGTATCCCTTTAGCCTTTATCCATGTCCACGGAAATCCCTCGAGCCATTTTTTGGGACGGTCGCGAGCATGGCAGCAGCCCACGGCAAGAGGCGGCGTCCGTCGCGAGTCCCGTTTCTTCGTGAGTCCTGGTACTGAGCAGACATGTGCCTGGCTCCCAATGCTCCCTTTTCTTAAATGTTCCTGGCTCCCACTTCCCCCTTTAAAAACGAGACATTTGATCCTTGGGTAGGGCCGGTTATTTTATAAACCCCAGCCTCGATACCTGGACCCCATTGGCTGCTTTGCAGGCACAGCATCTTGGTGTTCTGGTCCTCACTGGTTTTCACAAACACAAATATTATTTTCCAATTCCCAATGGCTGCTTTAAAATCTCCAGAATATAGTTTCTGGTGCCTATTGGATTGCCATAATGACCGGACTCTGTTTTTCTGGGCTCCAGCTGTCCTTTTATAAACACCAAGCCTAGGCTTATAGTTTCCATGGGTGTTTGTTTTTCAATATTTTTTTCCCTGTCGATTCTGATCCCTTTCAACCTTTTCCATTACGGATCCAGTGGGCTTTTCGCACTTTGGCTTTTCTCGATTCGCCTTTTGTCTCTGTCGATCTTTATCCTTGTAAATTTTTGCCCTTTGAATTTGTGTTTTTCGTTCGGACTTTTATCGCTGTCGGCTCTTATCCCTTTTGAGTGTTAGTGCTTCGACCTATTCCGATTCGACTTTTTTCAACGTCAACATTCATCCCTGTCGCCTTTATCATTTCGACTTTTTTATTCGGCTGCTTGTCGGAACACCATCTGCCACTGCCGTCTGGGACTTTGTATTTGTCCTCATAAAGTTGACAGAACCTCGTCTCGCCACACCTCAATCGGTCCCAAACGCCTATTGAAAAAGCACAAACGCACCCTTGAGTGGGTGATAGATATGGTTTTTTTTGGGTTGACTGTGAGCGGGCGGTTGTCATGAATAATAACGTGCTGTGATTGCAGCAGATTTAATGAAGGTGTTCATGCAACTCAGAGACCTTTGCAATGACAGAAACGCAGCTGTAACTTCTGAGGTAGGGATTCACTGCCGTAGCAATGAAGGAGCAATGGGGGCCAACACAGTAGCTCTGGAGCATCCTGTTTAGGTTACCGACACGCGGAAGATACTGCTGAAAATCCCTGTTGAAGCCTGACAGGTTTTGAAAAAATGAAACATCCTCTTGCGCGATGTTTTTGTTCCGCAGACTATGCTCCAGCGCCGTGAGGAAATGTGTTGCCATTTTTGAGAGCACCACTTTGAGTGCTGTCATGTTGGCATACACTGCTTACCCGTTCTTAGCGGTCTGTGGTAATATCCAAACTTTTTAAAGTACTCTTGTGCGAACAGCGAAACCAGATAAAATTAAGATAAAATTTCGACGAGGGACAGTGTCGAGTTTTGCATATTACCTCACCCGGTAAGATTGGGAATATTGAAGCAAACTAATTCATCAAATACGCTATGTAAAATCCTTGCGTAACGTTATTTGGCTAACAGGACAAAGCCGCTGTACGCAGCAAACGAAGGTAATGCTTTCAGGATATGACCTTTATAGACAAGGGAAAATCATTCAGAACAACACAATCTCTCAACTTTCCCGGGCAGCTATTTGCTTTGTATGACTGCCTGACGAAAGTTAGAGGGAGTGTCCCATTCTTGGGCATATGTCACAAACACTGATGAAACCTCAGGACCAGTTACCTTAAGTGACAGCATTAGATAGTGCCAATGCAGCACCATTAAGCCATACTAAGCATATCAATTTTCAGTTCATTTTTTGTGTCCAACTTGCGCTGTCAACGCCTTGTGACAGCAAAATGTTTCTTCCCTGCAGTCGTGACAGCCGTCGTCATGACGACGGCGCAGAATCTGCTGGGGGCCGCTGTCAGATGTTACTGAATGCCATTAGTACGTACAAACGGCCGTTAGTGATTGACAGAGCGGGCGGCAAAAGGCGGTTACCGAGAAATGCATCGGTTGACGTTTGAAGCTCGCTGTGTCAATATTAGCCATGTGATACTCCTCAAAGCCAAAGTACGTCTCGAAAGGAGCCACTTTAGTTAGCACCTTAAAAGAGAAGCCAAAGCCATAGTGTAAGGTTTCGTTGAACAACGGGATAATAACGGGTAATAACTTTATATTCGCTTATCTTTTCGTCTAAACGGTGCTTCCAGCTCTTGTAGCATTTATTACACCAACACATCCGATAATTAGCATGTTGCAAATACTACAGAACACACACACGGGAAAACGAAAGGCAAACGAAATGTATCTCTTTGATAGTACTAAGCAGGGAGTCTGAGAAGATTTCTCCCGTAGGCGCAGCTACTTCAATCAAAATTCTAAGCTATGCAGAAGAATTTGGAGAAAACCGGAATTACTGCTCAAATCTTAAACGTATGACCTAATAGTAGGTAAACAGTACAAAAAGATGGCATATTACTACCTTTAATCCCACAGCGATCATGAACCTGCTTTGAGGAAGCGCGAAGCCACTGCCAGACTACTCGACGTGGCTTTAAAAGACGATGCCGTCTCTCGGTTTCAACGGTACCGCGTGTCAGGGCCTGGTTTGGCGGACTCCTGTTGGCCCTCACTGCGACAGGAATTCGGGTTTTAATTACGCGCCGAGGCAGCGCGTAGTTTGACCTCGCCGTGCGCCGCCGAGGTCGCAACGGAACTAGACACTCGGCTCTGGCTGGATCGACACGAAGCCGCTTCCGTGCAGACGGTGCTTCCGTAATACAGATGTGTTTTGATTTTACCAAGTAGTGTAGACTTCGACTCTCACAGTCGTTGAGTTTGTTCCGGTTGAGACTCATATAAATGTAACTTGAACTTGGTTCCAGCGAATTCGACTCTAGTGGTAACACTGCACAATATAGCTCAGTCTTTAAATCATTATGCTTAGAGACCCTACCAATGTATATATATATATATATATATATATATATATATATATATATATATATGTATATATGTATATATGTGTGGAAAACTATGAACACAGCATCGGAAAAACGAAATTGACCAACTGTGATATCCTCAAGTTTGGCTGATAGCTTCGTTGGATTCGAGCCTCGGAAACCGTACATTTTTTAACGACACCGTTGTACTCGGCATTGAGTTCAATGCAATGGAATTGACTTCGCCCACCCCGTAACTATTTACTACTTTTCATCGCACAATTCCTCTTGACAAAGGAAAGACCACATGCGTCTTTTCGTGGAAAAACGTGACGCGCCTGGTTTTACCCTTGCTGGGCGTAGCTCTCACCTACCGCTGTCTGCCTCTTCCAGTTCCCCTTATGCCTCGTTCGATCCCTATCGTTTCCAGGCCGACTGCCGTCCTCCCGCCGCCTGCTCTGACCGTCAGCCCTTTCGCAGGTCCTCCAGGCTGTCTGCCGTCTGCCCGCCGCATACCTTGACCATCGTCCTTGTTGCAGGTCTTCCAGGTCCCTGACGTCTTGCCGATCCGGCTCACCGCCGGCCGAGGCGCCGCGCCAGCTGGTGACTCGCGAGTCGGGCTCGTCGCAGCTGGTAACTGGCGAGTCGGGGTCGACGCAGCTTGTGACTATCGAGTCGGGCTTCGGCCAGCCTCGGTTGGAGTTCAGTCCGCCGGTGGAGGCGCTCTCCTGACGGACGGCCTGGACGCCGTCCGATGCGAAAGGCGTCCGGGAGGTGCAGATCTGATTACGTCACGTGACGGACGGCAGCGGGGCCCAGGCGACTGAGGTGGGGCCGGCTCGGCCAGCTGATTGCGCGATGCGGACTTTGGAAGTTGTGATGGCTCGGCGCGGCGGACTTCGGGCAGGACGCTGGAGATACATATTCTTAGTGCAAAGTTGGCCATATCTGACACCGATGGCAGCCGTGTTAGTTGGTCGCTTGAAGCTGAGGCTCGCAGCTACCTTAACTGCAGCTGTTTCTGCATTTGTCGCGGAATGTCGATTTTCGCAGTGATGTTTATCGGTGGGCTAACTTACTATCACCTTATTTTCTTCACACCCACGGGCCCGCGTTGGTTTGCGGTGTGGAACAGTTCAATTGCACGGCCGTTTTCAAAGTTCGCTGTCTTGTTAGGGTTTAAGATCAGAGTCGTTATAGCATAGTAATCTTATGATTCTAGTGGATTGTCTTGGATTCGACGGACATAGAGCAGGCTCTGTCGGCTGCGTTAGATATGCGTGGTGGGCTGTCCCGTCAGCAATATTACATGCTCTATAGAAATGTCCACGTCAGTGTCAACTGCCACGAGTGCGACAACACCAACGTCAAGTGGCGTGATATGAGGACAGGCATGTGCAATATGGCCAGTGATCATATATCTCCAAGTGGCGGTCAGCTTTACTCGCTGGTGTGATGTTGGTTGATGCCAGACTGATGTATCGTTTTGGGAGCAGTTCCAACGATTTTCCACTGTGCCCGTTAATAAGCTAAGACGCCTTAGGGCAAGCTGAATATTACGCTGATCTGCCCTGTTCAGTATCTGTGGGCACCGGGTAGATGTCACGTTGTTTTGATGATGTTCCGGCTGTTTTTGCGTTCAAGACCGACAAAATGTTCCTAGGTGGACGCAGGTAACTTGTATGATACGTTTTTTATAATAGCGTGCCAATCATCAGGGTATGATGTTACCTGTCTGTGGAAAAAAACTCAAGCTTCGTGGTGGATAACGTCCACGTACAGCGCATCAGCACCTCATGGTGTGGTGGCTCGGCCGGGGCACCACTGGTGACGCCCCCTCCCCGTCCCCCTCCCACTGGGCCGTCCCACGCCTGTAGAACTGGCGGAGCGTTGCCGGTTACATTCAGACGGGAGAGCTCGTTGTCACCGGGCAAGACCCCCTCCCCCTTTCCGGATGGCGCACCTGCATCTCGGACCACGCAGATGGGGGAGTCCTGACTCACGTCCTGCTCTGCCGCAACGACTTCGGTTTGATGCCGACTCGCACATGGTATCTTCCTACCGAAACTGCCTTACCACCATCTGAGCAGGAATAATAAGGCAAACTTATGCATCTATACGAAGGCATATATAAATATATATATATATATATATATATATATATATATATATACATATGAAGCATCCTCGTATAGTTAGGATTAGTAGCTTGGTGGTCAGGACAGCATTCGCTATCATTTATGTCAATCCGTCAAAATTTCGCTACAGTTATCATCTTCGGGGAACATCCTTACACAATGGAATAACATCGCTAGCACCGAATAACATCGCTAGCATCGAATGACATCGCTGTCATCCACATCGTTCATAGCAAAGAAGCTAACAGCTACGGTTAGCGCAACTGAGTAGGAGCATAACAATTCCCTGCGCGCAAACAGGTTTCCTTGAAGAAATAAAACATCACACAATGAAAGATCTTTTCAGCTCCGTACAAAAAAACTACCGAATATTTACAGAAAACTTCAAACCCATACTATTTAATGCAGATTCTTTTGGTGAATACGAATTGCTAAAATCGTAAGATCGAGAAAGTTGCCGCCTTAATACAGTACACAATCTCAATGTTAAAGCGCGTGTCACACGCAAATGACTGTGCATTCAACATTCTTTCTAACCCAAACCATTCCGCCCATCTATCATCATTGTCGACCAGAGACCATTCATTTATGTGTGTGCTCGTGTTGAATTGTGCTAACCATGACTATTATCTTGTTTGCTACGAGCGATATAGGTCATATAACCTAACGATGTCTTTAAAATGTAGCCTTGTTCCATTGTGTAAGAATGTATATATATATATATATATATATATATATATATATATATATCTCTCTCTCTCTCTCTCTCTCTCTCTCTATATATCTATATCTATATATATGTATATATACACACACACACACACATATATATATATATATATATATATATATATATATATATATATATATATATGTGCGTTTGTGTGTGCGTGTGCGTGTGGTGTGGTGTGCGTGTGCGTGTGTCGTGTGTGCGTGTGTGGTGTGTGTGTGTGGCGTGTGTGTGTGTGTGTGCTGTGTGTGTGTGTGTGTGTGTGTGTGTGTGTGTGTGGTGTGTGTGTGTGTGTGTGTGTGTGTGTGTGTGTGTGTGTGTGTGTGTGTGTGTGTGGTGTGTGTGTGTGTGTGTGTGTGTGTGTGTGTGTGTGTGTGGTGTGTGTGTGTGTGTGTGTGTGTGTGTGTGTGTGTGTGTGTGTGTGTGTGTGTGTGTGTGTGTGTGTGTGTGTGTGGTGTGTGTGTGTGTGTGTGTGTGTGTGTGTGTGTGTGTGTGCACCAACACGAGTCGATTGCGCGTCATCTGATCACATTTTTAACATGCAGTCACGTGCAATGTGTTAGGATAAATCTAGGTATCGTGTGTCCGATGTCCTGTTACTGCTGTTTGTCGCTCCTGGCGAGATGCTTACTCTGATGGCCAACTACAATGTTTGGTGTCGTATATTTTTATATGACGTCTCTGTGGAACAATCCCTTGCGACCGTTTGTTGTTTCACACCATGCCGCCTTTTGCAGGGCATCTGTTTTGATTCTTGATTATTCGATGAAAATATATCGCCCCAGGCGGGGGTTTGAGTGTTGGGCAGAGTGACCAGCGGCATTTATTGCGTGCACTTACGTTGAACTGTACAGTTGCGTTGGTCAGCGGTTCGTATTGCTCACTTAAACAATAGTTGAGGACAAGGCCGTCCAATGGAAGTTGAGCCATAAACCCGTGTGTGTGTCTTGAACGTGAACTGAATGCATAATAAGTTTGATAATGCTGTACAACATGTAATGGTCGACACCAGAGCCACCTATATCTGATGAGACACAGTGGCAGCGCCACATTTTGGTGTAGCTACAAACTGGACATTTGTAACAATGTTAATTGCAAAAGTGAATGCATGCGTTCACTGATGCATTTTAATGTACCTGAAATCTGGTTCAGCTGATCTGCTCTTAGAAAGAATTCTGCGCGGGACACCAACTGCCAATAAAATGACTCCAAATTCGCAAGCTCTTGCAAAGAACAAGAACATTTCTACACAAGCTCCTCTAATACTTAAACGCTAGCTTCGATTTGATCACGTGTTGTCCTCAACATATTCCCTACCAACATGACCACATGCCCATTATGCTCGGCGTTCTCACGATCCACTAATTTATCGTAGGACAAAACGTAAGCCAGTGAGACCCTACAGACATCATGTAACCAAGTCTGGTGGCAATATAGCCCGGATCGAAAACCAAAATCACTTACAACTTCAGATGGTCTGTGAGCCCATTGTGCATTGCTTTCTGCTAAAAAATGTGATCCTCGGGCTTAACAAGTTGCTGGCCTAAGGTGTATATCATAGTGTATATGAAACAGGACTGGCTTAAAACGGGGTGAGCGTCATATAGATCGTACTCTGGTCCTACAGCAAAATGCTCTGTATCTATTGTGATCGGCCAAGCAGCCGTTTTCATTTACTCTCTAAGCGATTTCCTGACCTGTTGGCGATGGAACGAAAAGCGCGACTTTAGGCGTATTATCCTGATCTGTGAAAGTCCAAGTGCCTTGCCTTTAAACAAGGACGCCGTTCAGATATGCAGTACAAATGTAAAATTTCGGTGTGGCGGAGTCATCAACTTCACGTACCGTACATTCCGTAGAGAACTAGGACATGTAACCTCGCATGCAAATTTTAAGGACTCATCACAAATGTCGGTGCAGGAAAATCCCTCTGCCTTGCTGACGAGGTTCAAATTGTTTTTCATGTACCTGAAGTCAGGTAGTTCTTCACAATCGCATCAATATATCCCGGTACTCAACTGCCTGTTCCTTTAAGGCCTTAGTCGTTTCGTCTTGTAAAGCCTGCGCTGTCATTTGCTTCGATTGGTTTATTCAGCAATCCCCGCACAGAACATGACATTGTACAACGAACGCGGGCGAGCGTCTCGCCAGTTGCTTCACTCTCGCATGGCTCAGGCGCAGTCCCGACGCATGCATGCAAACTGGGAACATGTTGAAACAAGCGCCTCGAGCCTCGACCTCGAGACTCGCGACAAAGGAAATGATGATGACGCCACGAGGCTCACAGGGGCTCTCTCTCGCGCGCGCACTCTCTTCGCCGGACTTTCTTTCTCCGATTACGCGGCTAGCGTTAGCACACCGGTGCTGGGCTCACACAAATGGCATCGTTCCCGCTCCCGGTGGCTTACTGCGGTGCGAGAACGAACCCTCTGTGACCTCGTGACCTCTTTCACGACCCCGTGGTCTTCCAGCCCGCACCCCATCGAGAGCCGGGGCGAGACGTCGCTACACGACCCCCTGCACGGAGGTCATGTGACTGGTCCCCTGCTCTGCCAAAGGCTCACACCAAGTCACGCGAGCGGACGGGAGCGGCACCGGGTTCAGGTTGGAGGTGACGTGATTGATAAACGACAACCACGTCGGGCGTGCGTGACCCGGCAAGTGGCACCATGTGACATAGCACGTGCCACTACGTGACAAGGCATGTAACGCCATGACCCCGCACATGACGCGACGTGACCTAACGCGTGACAAACCGTGGTCTCGCGCGTGACGCTCCGTGGCACGGTTCGTCATGGGAATCTGTGACGTACTGCCACCTGCTGTCAAGGTGAATGAGATACTTTCGAACCACGCCTTCCGGGGCATGTTCGTCAGGCTGACTATCGAATCAGCAGACGTTATTCATCAAAAGCAAGCCATCACGTGGAGTCAACCGTCCGACATACCAACGCGTGCTGCAGTCCCGCTTAGAACCTGCCAGCTTCTCCGCCCCGTCAAGGCCGGTCAAACGCCGTTAAGCCTCCTCCGAGCCGCGGCCAACCTGTCGGGCGCTACTGGCCGGCGCGGCGCGACGCCAGATCCTCGATGTCGACATTCCCCTGGAAGCCGCCAAGAACGATTTGATCGCGTCGCTCCTGCGCCGGCTGCGGCGCGCCGCGGAAGGTGATGTCCGGCCGGAGAGCCACCGACGGGTACGGGTCGCCGGGCGGCCGGACCGGCGGCAGGGGGCGTGCCTCGTCGCCGCGCCGCTGGAAGCTGTCCTGACCGAAAGTCGACGCCAGCTCAGCCTGCTGCGGCGCCGGCACCCGCGCGCGCGCGTGGAACGCCGCCGGGTCGAAGTCCTCCACGGGCGCGCGCTGGCGCGCCTGCTGCGTCGGCCGCAGCACCGACTGCGACTGGCCCTGACGGAAGCCGTCGCTAAAGCCGTTGCCGCTAGGGCCGAAGCGCTGCGGCGGGCGCGGCCGGCGGCGACGCTCCGGCGTCCCCTCCGGCTGCCGCTCGTTGTAGGAAGCCTGAGGCGCCGGACGGTCGGCGTACTGATCAGCGCCGGCGGCGCTGTCCGGGTAGTAGCGGTCGGCATACTGCGGTCGCAGCGTGTCGTTGTTGATCTGCTGGTACAAGTAGTCGTTGACGAAGTGGAACTCGCCCGAGCGCTGGCAGATGTTGTCCGAGCCCTTCGGCTGGCAGATGAGATTGATCTGGTGGAAAATGTTGCCGTCCGGGCAGACCCACGAGTGCTTGACTCCTGCGGCGCAGTAGTGGAAGACCTCACAGTTGACACTGTCGTCGGCGAAGTAGCCCGTGTCGGCCGGCTCGCAGCGGAAGCTGGACGTCTCTAGCAGCACGGTCAGCCGGTCCGGCTCATCCTCGTAGTCCTCACTCTCCAGCTCCGACTTGCTATCCGTCTCCGGCTGAAACAGTGCAGCGAATACATCAGCGCCGGCGGCGTGACCAGGCTGCAGACGGAGAGCGTGCGACGGTAACTCAACGATAACTCAGCCAGATAAACGTGGGAGGCTACAGACCAATGGCCACGCATCGGCCGGAACACATAATCAACAGTCTAAATGTGTGACATGACCCAAATGTCGCACGGATGATTTATGCATGACATTGTGGAGAATCACAGAATGCGACCAGGGAACACCACTGCACATCATGAAGCGGTGAAAGCCGTGTGGGACCGGCCTGCACCGGCAAGGGCTCAATCACCACCGATCTTGAAACACTTCATGGAAATGGGCCGTGCCTGTCGCGCATGGTTAAGTCATACGGTGCGTCGCTTATCGCCGTCAGATGCCGCTGCTACATCCTTGTCGTCAACACTGCGCCTACAGCTAGGTGTGATGTCGTTCACCAGCACCGTCACCTAAACATGCGTGCTGTCTTCAGCTGCAGACCAGGTCGCTGGGCCGACAACCAGCACAGCAGAGCCAACAGCACACACGTGGAGCTGCTGGCTCGCCCTCGGACCACGGAGGCCTCCCGCCGACCGCCGCCCCCCCCCCCCCCTTCCTCTGCAAACGGCAGACCGGCCGTCTCTGGGGGCGGCATCCGCCGCTCTTGGTGCCGCAGCCGGCCGCCGTGGCCGCCGGTTCGGATGAAAGCGCAGTTTCCAGGTCAGCGGCGCCGGCGGCCGAGCTCGGGTCGCCAGCCGCCGACGCCTTCGCCGCTGGAGCGAGACGAGTGCGACGCGACGGTTTCTCCTTGGGAGTCGTCGGTGGGCGGGGAGACGTCTCTTGGGGACAGGGACCGAGGCATGGGGCCATGCGGCGACCGAGAGCGGTACGCTGCAGACTACGTATGCACATGTTTTCAGGAAAAGTTTCGAGCTGGGGGATGCCAGAAGTATCCTGCAAAGGTCTTCCTGCATTATATTCAGTTGGATCCAGGACTGAAAGATGGCTCAGCATGCAGTTGCAGATTATATGCTGGGGAGACTTGGATGTAGGGCATTCAGATCGCAGCTTATAGATCACAGACCAAATGGGCTGTTAATCTGTGCCGGACAGGATTTTTCCAAGCACATGTTCGGATTCAGATTCTGGATGTGGCAGGCCAACATGAAGATAACCATATGACTACCAGGCGGAGGCACTAGCACTACCAGGAATGTGAACGATCGAGACCAGATTTTGTTTTGGAAGAGGGACAGAGTGGTGGTTGTACTTTCAAGTAAGGTGCACTTCCAGCTGAGTAATTTTGCTACCGACTCAAAACCACACAGCTGCGCGCAACGCAAAGAGGCGTTTAAATGCAGCAGCAGTTAGCATGTCGTGTTAACTGGCTGGCTGAAATCGTACTAATTCAGTCTGTTTGGCCATGTTTTCAGAGCTCCTGTGCAGTCCAAAAAAACATGAATTAAGTTTCGCATACCAGCTGCTTTCGGCCCACTTATCAAACAGCTACCAGAATGCTTCCAAAATCCCTACCGTCAGGTGCAAAATGGCTTTCAGTGACCGTTGGACGGGCTGAGAGCGACGCTCTATGACTATAAACCGATTTCTTTCAATCCGCTGCACAAGAAAAGAAAACACGAGGCTCATCCTGACCAAATCCAGTTTCTACAATATAACGATCTGTTAGGAAGTAACACCGTATTTTACCACACATAATGAAGGATTCTCGCTGCTTGCTGCTAAATTCTCACGACGTCCGGCCTCACTGGGAGCAAGCTGTGGCCGTCAGCCATTAGCTGGCATCACAGCCACCCCGCCCGAACGCCCGCACAAGCTTAAAGGATGGGCCCCAGCGGGCCCCAGAAGGGCCCCAGAAAAAAACGCGTGGGTGAGGCTCGTTGGCGGAGAACTCCGACGGTAGTCACAGTTTGGCCCATCACTCCCCTCTCTTCGTGGCCCTGGCATGGCAAAAGGGCTCTAATTCAAACCAAAGAAAACAAGACAAGATAGCTTGCCGCCTAAAGCGAGATACACTCAATGTCATCTTTGAGAGTAAATTTGTGGGTGTATAGGCCCCAGCAGTTTTCATTTTTGTTTTTGTTTGAGTACCCCCTTTTCTCAGGGCCTCCATCAACCCTGATCGGCGGATCGGCGGTATGGCAGCACGCACTGCGGGTACGTGCGCGGGGGCACTTGTCCTTGTGGCCCTCGGCTCCGTTAGATGCCAGATTACAACACGCGCGCCAGCTTGTGCAAGCAGTGGCCTCTGTGCAACCGGGGTCAGGCGGGATGGTAGCGCCGCCCCCTGCTCACGCCACTTCCCGGAGCCTTGGGGCGTGTCATGTTTACCGCCGCCCGCCGCGCCTCTGGCGGCGACCGGCGCAAACTCGGCGGCGGCGGCGGCGCCCGAAGCACAGGAAAACGGGGCAAAAACGAGACTAAAGGAGCAATAAGCGCTGACCGGGGCTGACCTCCGTTCACGCACAGCGGAGAAAGCGGGCTGCGGCGCGCCGACCGACACCCGTCCGGAGAGCGGGGCCGGGTCTCGTCGCGTTCCGCTCCAGATTCGGCGCCGCGGTGTACGTCGTACGGGTCACGCCCTCAACAACGGCCCGCTGCCGCGGCCCCGCCCGCGGCGGGTCAGCCGTGTTTATTGCAGAGCGGTGGCGGTCGGCATCGGCGAGAGCTGGTGATCCCTCGAGTCCCGACGATCAGACAATGGCGACTTGAGCTGCTGCGGTAGAGTTGAAATGGAGGCAAACGGCGATGGGTAGTGGGGCTGGCCGGGTACCTGTCTCACGCGGCCGGCACCGGGGCAGTGGACCAGCCGCGCGGGGATTGGTGTCGCGGGGTGGGCGACGACCGCTCCCGTTCGGAGGCGCCGGTGCGCGCGCACCGATCGTGACGCGGCGTGACGGCCGGATGGCGCCGCGGCAGATGGCCGCTGTCGCCGTCGCGGTCAACGCTCGCTATCGAGGTTAGGCTCTCGCCACCCACCGCGCGCCGTCAGCGGCGCGCCGGCCCGACTCTCGGGGCGGGAAGGTGCCGTCATGGCCCGGCTAGGCTCCCAGGGACTGTGAGGGGGCTGGCGTGCGCGGTACGCTGGAGGAAAAGACGCCGGGTGTGGGAGCGGTGGGAGACGATGGTGGGAGCCGGCGAGCCGCCGCTTTGTTTCCGACGGATTGCGACAGACCCCGCAGCGGGACGTCGGGTGGAGACCTTTATCTCACTCAGGCGCGGTGAGAAAAACCGGTCGTGCATTCCTCTGAAACGGCGACGGTATCTCAAGCAATCGGAGTACCGCTTGATGTCAGAGGGTCGTGATCGGCCACGCGGATACCATCCGAGTTCCATGCACTGAAAACCGAAAAGGAACAGACTCCATAAGAGCAACAGACTTCATAAGGGCTGTACCGGAGATCGATAATCTTTTCATACGTCGTGAGTTCGTATTCGAACTCGATGCTGTCTGTCTGAATGGTAATATTGCCGATTGATTTTACAGGCAACACGGTTCTTTACACTGGCGCTAGCATAGTTAAACAAGCACCTACGCTTAGAGAATTTACCAGGGCTGATAGCCTCGTCAATGGATGGGTAGGTCACCGAACTGGATCCCTCTTGGCAACACCTTGGCCTCACATGCTGGCCATCGCGCCAGCGCGCGTCACGTGACACCCCAGCGACCCACTGCGTAGTAGATCACGTGACACATCCGTTAGCCCGCCCAACTTCCCTCGAAATGTCGGGCGTAAGCCATTCTTTGGACTCGTCGTGCACTTTATTAACGAGACCGGACGGTGTGCACTTACCGCATAGTCAGCAAAGTCGATCTGTTGCGGCTGGAAGCGGCTGCTAGCTCGACTGGGCTGAATACTGGGCTGGGCGGTGGGCCGGGGGCTGGGACGCGGCTTGAGCGTGGTTGGCGCCGGCCGCGGCTGCTGGAACTCCTGCCGGAAGTCCTGCTGCGGCCGGAAGCCCTGCCGGAAGTCCTGTTGGAAGCCTTGCTGGAAGTCCTGCTGGAAGTCCTGCTGCGGGCGAAAGTCTTGCTGCGGCGCCGACAGCGGCTGGAAACGCTCGCGGCTAGGCGGGCTCGCGCCCGACGGCAGGAACGGCACCAGCGTCTGGCCATCCGCCTGCTGCGGCTCTGGCCGCACCGGCCGCCGCGGCCGCAGTCGGCGCCGACGGCCCGACGCTCCCTGGCCCGCACGGGGCGCGTAGCTGACCTGAGCAGCGGCGCCGGCCGCGCACAACGCCAGCACCAGCAGCAGAGGACGCATCTGGAACACCGGTGCAGCGTCGTCACGGGTGGCACAGCCGGGTTAGGACGCGTCACGTGGTGACGGACGTGCAAGACGGAGGCGTTGTCATACAGAACGAGCGCTGCTTCCTGCCACGGCAGCGCGTGTGGAGGCGGGCTATGTTGTAAGTGGCGCGGAGCGTGTGAGATCAGAGCCCTGACTTAGCCTTCTGCGATGTTTTCCGCCTCACACACCAAGCCCATGTCATGCGCCGCGTCATTTCGTCCTAACATTGCCGCAAAGCGCGGAGCGAGAAGAATAATATCCGCAGCACGAATGGTGGCGGAGAACAAATATTTCGCAGAGCGAGCTGGAGCTAATTAAAGCCCTCCGAGTCGAGAAGAACGGTATGCAACAAAAACCGCGCTAAATGTACATTCACGATATGCGCTACGGTTGCATGCTGTACAAGGGACCTCGACGAAAACGGGTTAAGGCCCTGAGGCATGCGTGGCGTCCTAAGTGAGACCGCAGTGGCGCCGGAGTTGCCCACGAGTAAAATGCACCACAGCACCAAATCCATGGAACCGGACCTCAAATAGATTGCGCAGTACACGGTTCACAAGGAAGACCCCCCAAGATAAGAGAAACACTGGCTGCCATCTTGGCAGCTGAGACTGAGCACAAACTATGAGCAAATACATCTTCCAACAGGTCTCCACGGAAGAAGAATATGCTACAAAGTAGGACGAACGCCTAAAGACCATCGCAGCTGTGCGTATCTACGCATAGCCGCCTGAGGATGAATGTGGTTCACCCTGTTATACCACATTATGAGAGCACAATGTGGCAGAGCAGCGATACAAAATACAAATGCGATGCGTTCTTTCACTTATAATTCAAAAGCCTGGAAAAGTGAGTCGTAAGTTCCTTTTCATTACCTTTAATTGATATTCTCAACTTTTAACATTGAAAGTATTGCAGATGGGCAGCTCGCTTGAATGGAAAACTACGTCAAACGGCCATGTTAAGTCTAAGTGATCGGTAACCAAAGACTGACATGCTTTCATAGAAATTATACCAAAGCCCAGTGCACGAGCTACCGTCGCAGGCTGTCATCGAACCAAACCCTCCGAGTTCAGGTCCCTTCGTTGCCCACCTATTCGTGATCCACATGACCACCAGGTTTAAAAGGGTCATGCTCTACATCAGAGTCATCCCGCGGCATTTCCCTCCACAGCTGAGGGCGGCGTTTTGTCCGCCCCCCTCCCCCCCCCCCCAAGGTTTCTCGGCTGGCGGCGGAAAGTGTCCCGAGATGGCTGCGGATGGCGAAACGATCGGGGAGAGGCAGCGGGGGGGGGGGGGGGGTAGATAATCCGCATGCTTGCTGCGGCGTGGGGACAGCGGGACGGCTGGGATGCGCTGCGAAAGTACACGTAGAACACGTCCAGCGTAGTAACCGAATCTCGCCAACAATTTCAGCGCATGGTCGTGGTGAATTTGAGCGCCCCGAACTTAGTGCGCGACCGCTACCAATGTCAGCAACTGGAGAGCCAAATGCTTCAAGGATTCAAATGTGTATTGGTCATTTCATGCACAAAAGCCACAATACAGCCGAAAGTATTGCTCTGTTAGCAAATACAATTTCAAAATTGGGCACATTGAGCCTGACCGGAGGGCAACCGCCTCACTGGATTAGGCAGAGTAAGGATATGCAGAGAAGTCCACCTACTTCTGGTCATTCTCACCTAGGAAATGTAAAATTTAGCGTTCTTTACCTTGATGACAACGTTACAAGTCTGGTAAAGTCTCAAATCCTCACAGTCGCCCGACGACTTGATGTCGCGGACCCTACGGCACCGGTAACAACAGTAGCTACGACCACGCGACAATCACGACGACTGCAACTATGCCGCAAAACGATGAGCTTCTTCTTCATATGCCTCATTCATATGTGTATTTTTTCAGCCGCTCGAGTCATGTGATCTGCTGTGAGCCATTATGACATAAACAGTGCTCATGGGAAGGGTTGTGAAGTAGGTTGGTTTATATACGCATCTGAATGATTTACCATAAACGGGCGACACAAAGTGTTAAGCATAAGCTTTGAGTTGACCCTGCGTGCAGTTTGTTAGCGGCCTGAATATTGCTGCCATGACTCTTGACGGTTACGAAAGTGGTGTGTAGATGCCTGGAACAGTTCTATAAAATGAGAAGAAAACTATGGTTACTTCACATGCTCGCAGATGGCAGCCCAAATATAAAGTGTTCAAAACTCCTAGAGCAACGCTTAAAACATGCCATGCTCTAAGCGTATACTGCGCTGTATATGTATTGTGTATGCTGTGCTAGCGTGTGCTATTCTAAGTACATGCTATGCTAAGCGTTGCTAGCATATGTTGTGCTAGGTGTTTGCTAGTACCACATGCATAGTTGACTCCCGTCTTGCACGCCGTCATGGAATGTTTAATTTTTACAGGTAGAAGGCAGATTTGGGATTAAGACGCTGAGGTTAATGGCACTGCCATCGGCCGCGATATGAGTCCGCTGAATAGTTTAATATTTGCATCATGCTTATCTTTTTCGTCAGAACAGTGAACACCAAGCAGAACATACGCGCCAGTAGCAGCGATTAAGGTAAGTTTGGCTTGCCTTGAGATCTTTCCAGACCTGCAGTGTCTGGTAATGGACGCAGCACAAATAGCAACTCACCGATATAATTGCGAAGTAACAAGACGTATTCCAAAGACATGTTCCAAACATTTGGGCTAAACGAGAAAACCAGACCGTGCAAGCACCCAGGGTGGACCGTTGGCATCAAACGCGGTGTTTCCGCAATATTCCCAAATACAGCCTAAACCCTATATATGTGGAAGACATCTATGATCGTCAGCGTCAGGGTCGATTGAAATGGTACGATGTGAAGCCGTGATTTTTCATGGAGTGCATTCAGAATTCTTTCCGTCTGGATGTTGCTATCGCCTAATGCACAGCTACAGCGGCCCGATCACTGCTCCAGACTAACCGGATATTTTCTTTCATTAGGCTTTGAAGGCCCGTGAACACGGCATCAGTGGGGTGGCATTGAATTGAAATTGGGACGCTGAAACAGCGCTCCTACTAACAACATCGTTTAAACTTTCCATTAGAACTTAACGCTTGCGCGCCATCCAACCGAGCTGATTGACGCAAACTATTCAGCCGAAGCTACGCTCACGCCAACTTGGCTTTCAGCAAGCATGCAGCGCCAAGTTGTGCACGTGTCCGCCCGGCGCGCAGCCTATCACAGCACCGCGGCCGAACAGCAAACACCGGCGCCCAGCAGCCGCTTACCGTCGTGCAGTGAGTTCCAGGGACACTCGGCACCCCTCGAGACCGAGCACCGTCGGCTGCGCTCCGCGGCAGGCTTGGTGCCGGGGCGCGCTGTTGGTGCTCTTATATAGCTTTCGCCGCGGCACGGCTGACCCTGATTCCGTACCAGGCCGGCCAGCGGCTGGCTCAGGGGTCTGCAACGCTGGCCCGCTCGCGAGAAGAAAACGTCCCGTGCGGGGGGGGGGGGGGGGGGCTGGGACTGCAGCCGGCAGCGGCGGCCGGAATGACGCGTGAGCTCGTGAGAAGTCGGCCGTTGGAAGTGGAAGTGGGCGCATGGGTCTTTGCTTTGGATGAGAATGAGTTGTGAAGCATGACTGGAGCAGTGCGATATGCGAACGATCGATGCATTAATGCAACATGTACGGCGTTAAGTGGAAGATGAGACTCCTGATCTCTGAGTACTGCGACATATTATTCCCCATGCACATACGACGATCTATTGCTGTGATGGTTCGGCGCCATCTGGATGCATTCCACAACGCTATTAGTTACTTTCCCTCAGGAAGGGGGCCTCGACTGGCCATTCCAATCTCGGTGGTGATCTCTGCGGCGATGGAAACCGACACAGATATCGTCGCAGAGGGTTACTTCAGTCCGTCCACTCCTCGCTGTAATGGAGAGGAGGCGCTATTGTCCACGATGCATTCTCTACGCGTGCTATCGCCTCGTGAAATCGTCATTCGAACGATTTGGTTGGCCATATCAGGAGCCGTCGAGCGCCCGCGAATTCCGTCGGAAGGAGCTTTCGTTCACGACGACCGACGTCTGACGAGATGGATTTCCAGCCTCCCACGGCTGCGTTTTTCACCCAATAATTCTACGCTTCTGTCATGCAATGGCCTGTGTATTACAAAACATCAACAATAAACCTGCTTATTCCATGGTCGTAGAGGTTTGCAGTTGGAGATAAAAGGCATGGGTTCATGCCCGCACAACAGGCTGACATGACGGCACTAAGCACGAAGAGGCTCATCAGGTCTGTTAAACTGTCAAATTATTGCACCGCCCAGAGTTTCACTTCTGAAGGGACATTGGCTCCGCCGAGTTGACTTGTAATTTTCACAGCTCCGCCATGTCTACATACAAACACACTCTTGACGTCGCCAAACACTCCCAAGCAGATAGTGTTTATTCCTGGCTCTTCGGTTTCCAACAGTACTTGCAGGCAGTCTGCTTCCAAGTATATTCTTGACCATTATTGAATGCTTTATCTCACAAAGATGACCGGCGCGCTTAATTTGTTTAGGAAAGGGGCAGCTTCCAAACCACATCTAAGCAAACATTTCAAAGAAATGAAAGGTTCACACCAGATTTGCGGAAGACTGTATTGCATTCGGTCGCATTAGGCCTGCTGCAGTTCAGTTTAATCCCACGTTTCGTATTTGTATCTATTCAGCTTACCGTCAGCACAAAATGACCTTATCAACAGGCGAAGTCACTTGGTAAAGCACAAAGCTTATCCACGATGCATTACGGTTGACGATTGAGTGTACAAAAAACACAAATGGGGCGAAACTTCGTCTCACGTGACGCAAACTGGTGTCAAAAGTTATAAATAGCAAACGTGATCTGACCATTACCGACACATGACCCTGCAACCCACGTGACCCATTGCGCCAGCCCATGTTCGTAACGCAGCCGCTTGATACGCTCTTTGTTCTGTCGTGAGACACGAACTTGGATATGTCTTGCCATTGCCCCGGGTAGTTTTGGGGAGATTCCAAAGTTAGCTTTAACATCACTGTGAACAGCCAAGCGCGCAACGCCAATGAAACATCCAGCAAGGATTACACAGTCCGTTTATTTATTTACCGACACCAAACGAGTCAAGATAAATGAAGTTTAGGACACTGGAGATAAAAGACGTGCTACGTCGCCATTACACCAGCTTTCATATGTGACGGGTATTTTGCAGCGCACCAATGTTATCCGTGCACCTTAGGATGGCTTCAATCTACCCCATTATATATATATATATATATATATATATATATATATATATATATATATATACGTATGTGTGTGTGTGTGTGTGTGTGTGTGTGTGTGTGTGTGTGTGTGTGTGTGTGTGTGTGTGTGTGTGTGTGTGTGTGTGTGTGTGTGTGTGTGTGTGTGTGTGTGTGTGTGTGTGTGTGTGTGTGTGTGTGTGTGTGTGTGTGTTTTAAGCCACATAGACGAAAAAACATCATTCGACCCCGTCTCACGACCTGACATGTCACCATGACAAGGATGCAGAAGCTCCTATGTAAATGTGATGTCAGTTATGAATGGCCATGCATGAATTTTTGCTTTAGTACAACAAGTACTCAATCAGCAATGAAGGACTTGTACCAACTAAGCCTTCTGTTGAACACCCATGTGCTGTCGAGCAGGCAAATTTTTGAGAATCGGCTATAGTTAAGGCCCAGGGTATATATATATATATATATATATATATATATATATATATATATATATATATATATATGATAAAATATGTCCTTAGGTGGAAGAGTACCAATTACAGCCCAGAAAACAGATGCAGCCTTTGATAACCTAGTGAAAAAAACGACAAAACCGTGCTGACACGCACTTTTTGCACGGCGTACAATTCATTAGTACGCATGAAACGAGATTGTTCAGGTCAAATAAATGTCTGCGTGGCGTATGATTACGTCGCAGTTGTTCGGCAAAGATTAGCATTCCAAAGCTATAATGCCGGCGTTTTATGTAACCTCCGTATAATTGCCGTTACTGCGCTACCTGACTGGAAGTTTTGGGCATTATTTGAAATGTACACGAAGTCCCTGAAATTTTCTGAAGTTTCCCCTTAACCGAGCGTAAAATAGTTCATGCCGCCGTTTAAAGCTTGATGTTTAATTGATCACCAATATTGTTCAGTGTCATTTCGACTTGTGGGATGTAACTAAGAGCACTAACTCTTCTCGCGTCTACCACGCATTTGTTACGTGTTACTTATTTGCAGTCTTCGTCTGGTATTTTGGCAGCGCTTATTCTGCACTACTTGACCAATCACACTTGACCGATTTGCCTTTGTTACCCGGTCACTCCATCCCAGCTTTTCAACCACCAACTACGAAACAGTACCATGCTAACAGGGTCTCGATATCCACTGTCTTCGCGAGTCGAAGGAAAAATGTCTGCGACCAAGACCCTAGAGCTGTTTAATATATAATAGTATAATACTAAAACTATAAGACCCTGAGATTGCCCAAGGTAACTGCATGCAGCTTGGACAACGGCTGCAGATGAACGCCGCCCCGCACCCCTTCACTCCAGCGCGGGCGAGCCGCTGTCGTGAGCGATCTTCCGCTTGACGAAAGCAACCACGCAGTGACGCATTTAGAAATGCGTTAATGCGTACGTGCGTGCGTGCGTGCGTGCGTGCGTGCGTGTGTGCGTGCGTGCGTGCGTGGGCGCGTGCGAGCGTGCGTGTGTGTGGGGGGGGGGGGATGGAATGGGAACGCACCGTGACTAGTTCAGCGGATCTGTGCCTGGCATCCATCAACAAGTGATTGATTTAGCTGCCAGGTCTCTCCGGTCGTGACTCAGTGTTCGCCATTTTCCTAATAACGAACACGCCGCTGCAATCATTTACATCATATATGACGGCGTGTGGCAAATTCCAATTGGGCGTTTCTTGTGATACTTACAGGAGAACTGCGATACGATCTTCATTTGCCCCAATTTACGCCATTTGCGCACAAACTTGGGGAGTTTCAAGCAACGTCTGAACTTGACAGTCAGATAACGTAGCCATCATCATTTTACGAAGGCTCCATTGAGCATCGTCATGGCATGGACCGTCTAGTTTTTCATGCAATGCCAGATTACGTCAAAACGTCTGTGGCAACTGAACATTTCCGCTTACAACGTTTCCCGAGAAAAAGGTCTTGCTACATCCTTCCCTGCGGTTCCCTCCGTCCTCCCGTTTCGGCATTCCAGCATAACTCCTACGTTGATAAATACCCACTTCAAATGTTGTTCACCTAATTTTTCTCCATATTTTAATATTCCCAAAAATTAGATACCAAACACTTTCAACATATATAATTGGGTTGCATCTAGCGTAGCATACATCATATATCACAGCATTTCATCGTTCATCGATTATATTTTGAAATAAAAGCCGACTCGCCAAGGATCGTGCGAGGAGGCCAAGCACTGCGGTACCATGGATCATGGGTGTAACTCCACTCTTCAGTGCAATGCTGCTGCGCCCCAACTTATTACGAATGGAGTGCAGTGTCTATAACGTTGCATTAACAATGTGTCCAATAACAACATTTGCGTTTCAAACGTTTCCAGAAGCTATCGTACCTGACGTTAAAAGCTATACGTTTAAGGCATGAAAGACAATGTGAGCTTTGCGTCATAAATTACGTTCATTTAGACGTACTGAGCAATTTATGATCTAGGCGGTCGCAATAAAAAAATTTGCGCACTTGCTCTGGTCTAGTTACCCCTTTTTTGAAAGCAGCAGAGTCTAGTCAAGCTCGTGACTCCAAGTAAACACGGTGTTTTGTGTTTTAACCGCCGTCACAACATTGAAATAACAACTGCAGTCGCCTCACACCTGCTGTTGCCATGTAGCAGCCTTGATTTTGACGTTGGCCTTGATTTTGACCTTGATTTTGCATGATTGCAATAAGATAACATATGTTTTTTCCATGAACATCGACTAGTCATCATCCTGGTCCGACTTTTATGTACACATTTAGGTACCTTTCGCCTCTAGAATCAATATCGGCATCAATGATCCCCTTCCCCCCGCACATATGCCTTTGTGACGCGAAAATCACAGCTGTCTACGTCAGGTTCCTGGATATTCACATGGCAACACCAAACTTACAGCCGGCAACGGCTTCCATTCGACTATTACCTTGTGACCGAATTAACCATTGTCGGTTTTGTAGGAAGACATTCGCACATACGTTTTTTTAGTAACGTCATTTAGAGAGCAGAGATTGCATTGCGCACGCCTATGGGAGTGTGTGATAAAATTTCAGTGTTGGTATACCAAC